GGGTATGTATCACAAAATCCTAACCTCCACAGTTGATACTAACTGTGATAATGTAAGCATCAAAACAACATTCACAGTATGTATGTAGACATGCTCAAATTATAGTGTTCCACAAAACCGATCTAGTGTTAAACTCAAATCCTCCTAGTATTTAAGTTCCAACAGTTGCTATTACAGAAGTTAAGATAGCTATCATTTTGAACCATCCTTCCAATAATTTATACTCGCAGTGGTAAGGAAAAACGTGAACCACAGAACCACAATGCATCCACAAACATGCTTAGTCTAGTTTGAACAAGCATACAACAGTACTGTAACTACCAGTTTCATAGCAAAACAGATATCATTTTACTTTTGTTTAATCTTCATTAATCCTGGAATCATTTAAGAGTGCAAAGAGTATGAAGCCTAAGGGAAAGAGTAAGGAAATAATCTTGCCTCAGAAACTTTTGTTCAAAGTTTCAACGTCGTCTTCTTAAAAAATCCCGGCGAGTTCCAAAACCCGGTTACTGTTCACGGGTACGAAACACTATTCCCGAACTCAAAATCTGATCTCCACCGATCAGATTGTGCGACACTAAGTCATGAACCTATCCTCCAAATTTCAGCTCGATCGGACCACGGACAAAGCAGGATCGGATGTTTGATGAAATATGGGCAAAATGGAAAAAAAACTGTGCGACCTAGTTACTGTTCACGAGTACAAATCACTGTTCCCGAGGTCAAACTCTGATCTCCACCGTTCAGATTGTGTGTCACTGAGTCCTGAATCTCTCCTCCAAAATTCAGCTTGATCGGACCACGGACGAAGCGGGATCGGAGGTTTGATCAAACCTTGGCAAAATGTGAAAAACTGCGTTTTTCCTTCTCCACTTCCACAAAACGTGTGCTTTGTTTAAAAAAACCCTACACAGACGTCTACCTTATACTTATAGAGTTTTCCTAAACCCTAAGTTCATTTAAGTCCAACTCACAATCCTAACCGGCGCATCCAATTAACGTAGAAACCTACGACGGCTATAATATAAAACCCTAATTTATACTGTAATTAAAACCCTAGTTAGATGCATTTACCTAATTACCCTATTCACCATTAAATACTTAACAAATAATCTAATTGAATAAAATATTAATTAGTAAACCCACTTAAATTAAATAAGACACACATAGAATAATTAAACCAATTACACTTAAACCATTAATGCCAATTAAATAATTAAAACACTAACAAGTAATTCCAATCAAATAACTAAACCAATTACACTTAAACCAATTACACTTAAACCATTAATGCCAATTAAATAATTAAAACACTAACAAGTAATTCCAATCAAATAACTAAAAATAAATATCATTTAAATAAATTAAATCACCACAAAAGAAAATAATTAAGCACCTAAAAAAGAAAAAATAATGACACATAATCAAATAAAATGCACTTAAATAATAAATTAAATACCATTAAATACCAGGAATATCCTTTTTAAAATTAGGGATATTATATATTGGAACTTTCAATGTTGGATAAATTGCATCGATAATTAAAATCGTGTTTTGACGTTCTAATAAAGCTTAAGATTGATCCTATTGATTCATTTATAATATAGGTGCTAGGTGGCATGAACCACTACTGTTATTTTGTGCTTTAGATTCTAAGTTGATAGCTTTGAGAACTTAAACCTTGTTGCATTGTATAACATGCTCTTTTGTTGTTGAATTGCATGGATAATGTAATTCTTGTTAACTTGTATTCAAATATGCTTTTGTCATGTTGTATGGATTACTTTAGACCTAGTTCAATTGTATTGAAAATGCAATTTATGTTAATCTATGCTCAAGCATCCTTCTTGTCGTGTTCTTTGGATTATCCCAACCATGATTCGTTTCATACATGTATGTATATCATGATTCTTGTTGCTTAGACTCTAAGGTAGCTTAGGATGCTCCCCGAGTCTCATTTGGACATAGACATTAGGTGGCATGAGCCCCTTTAACATGTTTCACGTTAAAGTGATAAATTTGTAAAATGCTAGGTCGATGCATGCTCATTTCCTACAAGTAGCTTTATGTTACTCACACCTACGATACTGGGACATATTTCAGGTACGGAGACTTGGTTCGTGACGCCTAGCATTCCTTGGATATCGTGTAGCTTTCAAGTTTCCATTTCATGCGAATGTTAGCATGAAATGTCAATTTGTAGACTTATATGTCAAAATATGTATATTTGATTCTATGTATGTAATGTGTACATAAGTGCACTCCTTTCAATGTATTTGACATGTATGAGATGAGGCCCGAGGCCAATGACATGTGTATTGTATTCTATGTACTTTTCAACTTCATGACATATTGTGAAAATCTTGAAAAATCGCAAGTCATTGCTTCACCATGGTTGCATTGGGTGTGGGAATTCCATTATCATTCTTTCATAGGGTCTTATTAATCTTGTATGAAGTGTGGCCAAGGGCCAAACGGTCATTTGACCCCGTTTTGTATTTTTGGATTCCGAGTTTTCATTCAAAATTCCATTTTTTGTCTTTTTGCCCGTTGGGGGGTCGGATTTTGTATCGGTGGTATTTTTAAGTCGTGGACCATTGTAGCACGTCCAAATAGGTAAGTTACGTTTATGTGCATGGTCATTTCCGGGGTAAACCTTATCGTTTGTGTTTTGAGCCTCTTGTGAATTCATTTCGCATTTTTTTTGCATATTCTGATCTAGGGGCATTATAGACTTTTCACGGTGGTTTTATTTTCTTCTTTCAACATGGTCGCTTAGAAAACGTGATTTTAGGGGGGGGTTTCTTTTTCGTATTTTTTCAGAAAATGTCGTCTTGGTGCCGAAAATCGATCGCAAAGTTCAGCTTTCTGTTTTTTTTTAGCAGCTTTTTGGACCTCCATGACCATATTTCATGGAGGGGCATTTCGGGCATTCTACATTGCGTTTTTTTTTAATTCTTTCGCGTTTCACGTAGAAAACTCAATTTTGAGGGGGGTTTCTTCTTTGTGTTTTTTCAGAAAAATTCATCTACTAGCCCGTTTTTACTCTCTGTTCTGGCTATTTATGGAAAAAAAAAATGCTTCTAGCAGCTTTTTGGGTCCATCTTGACCTAGGCAGTTCAAGGGGCATTTTAGGGACTTTACATCGTATTTTTTTTGGTTTCTTCTGCATAGTCGGGCAGAAAACGTGATTTTAAGGGGGGTTTTTTCTTCGTGTTTTTCTAGAAAAACTCGTTTAAGGGTCCGTTTTTAGTCTCGGTTCTGGAAAAAAATTTAATTGGTGCTTGCTGTTAAAACACTATTCCTGCCCAGATTTCTTACCCGGAAAATAAGTCTAATTTTTTGAAACTTTGAAGCTTCATATCTTCTTCGTCCCGACTCCAAATTAAGTCATTTTTTAGTCTAAGTTTATTAGTTTTTGCTTGTCTAGCCAACGGTATTCACGGTTGCATCTAATTCTATCTGAAAAGACTATTTTACCCTTTGTAAAGTACCCCTGCCGCACTGATTTTAAACTCAAAGGTTGGTTTTTTTGAAACTTTGACGTTTCTTATCTTTTACATCCAGACTTCGAATCAAGTGATTCCTGAGTCTAGATTCATTAATTTTTTCTAGTCTATCTATCGGTATGCTCAGTTACACCCAAATTTGTCTAAAAAGATCATTTTACCCCTTGTCAATTACCCTTGCCGCACTGTTTTGAAACCCGAAAGTTGGTTTTTATGAAACTTTGGAGTTTCATATCTTCTTCATCCGGACTCTGAATCAAGTGATTCTTGAGTCTAGATTTGTTAATTTTTCACTATCTTTCCAACGGTGTGCTCGGTGGCACCCAAATCCACATTTTTCAGAAATGACTATTTTGCCCCTAGGGGCTTATTTGTCATTTTTTCGATCTTTTGCTTCCGCATCAGTTCTTGTTGAGTTCCACGACCTCATGGAAGGTCACTTGACTTCTTAGAGTCTTGTTTTCTATTTTCGCTTCCGCATTCGGATCCGTTATCGGATCATCCTTACGGTTCATCATAGGACACGCTGGCCTAAAAACCAGGGTCATCACAATATATATATATATATATATATATATATATATATATATATAATGAAAAAAGACTTTACAAGAGAGGAGGCGGGGGAGGAGAGAGAGGGAGGTGTTAGGGGGGTAATTGTGTCCTTCTAATATGTTTGATATTTTACAATAAATCTTATTTTAATATTAAGGGTAATTTCGTCTTTTCAGAGGATTTAAGGCTTTATTTGGTTGGAGTTTTGTATGAGGGGGTGTCTTTGTCCAAAAAAAGAGTAAGTTTCATCGGTGTGTCCTTTTAGCAAACCCCATGGAGTGTGAGTGTACTTTACCCAAAAAAAAAAAAAAGAGTTCGTATTTCAATGCCACATTAGGGAACAACTTGAAAAAGGAGAAGCTGGAAGTGGTAGTTATTTGAAAATTTAATCAAAGGGGTTCTTTTTTTAATATATATATATATATATATATATATTATGTGCTTCACTTTTAGTCATTATTCACTAATTAATATAAGATAAATTATTGGGTATCCGAGATTCCTGACAATGTGGCACTCGTCATCTCGACACACATCTTATGCTCATTATTTAAGAATTTGAGAGAATGTGCTTCATAACAAGAATGTATCAATGAACTATAAAATGTAATAACAGAATTAACCAATTATTTGGACCATGGTTCGCTGCGACTCTTTTTCAAGTCTGATACGTGATTTGTATCGGCCAGTTTATACTGACTTTGTCCGCGTCTGTTATATCGCAACCGTGACCGATACTGCTTATCATGATTTCGACCATCGAATATTATTTAAAATGTTATCAAAAGATTTTATAGGAATAATCTAACAAAAACTAGTTATATTTTTACTCTAAATTTTTATTTTTTGTAGGTATTGTGGTCATGCAACAACAAGGGTTTCAATTTGTCCAAACAAAATATTCAAAGGACTATTACTTACTGTATAGTAACTTATTGAATAGTTGACCATTGCTACCTTTCAATTTATTCAAAAATAAAAAAGAATTGAGCCTGAGACATCCAAATTTTGAGAAAAGCATTATTGATCATCCACATTTCACAAATCGCAAAAAACAAAGAGCTACAGCAAAGCATTTACTCCAATAGCCCTCCCAATATGTGATATTCCTTATATTTCACAACTTAAAGCTACAAAAACTGTTTGCTAATAAATAAATTTGTACATACTAATCTTGATAATACAAATGAAGTGATCAGTATTATGTTACAGCTTGCTGGTATTTGAATCTCCTGAAAACTTTTCCCTTAATGTTGGAAAATATTGGTTTGGACGCGTCCTCGCCAATAATCCCCACAGGAGCAAGTTCCATCCTTGAAATAATGGAACCTCCTCACATCCCTCACAATTATCTCCCTCTCCACAATCTTTGAAATAAACTTGGTAGCAGCATGGCAATCATTACAGACTCTAAGGTTCTTGGCAACTCTAATGGTGGTGCCAGGAGGCGTGTTGAGGATACCAAATGCTATTGCTAGTTTCTCACTATGTGCACATAGTAGATTCTCCTTTTCCACCTCACCAACATTGTGTAGAACACAAGAAGTGTCACGAACATAACCCTCTTTTCTCATTCGCTTTGACAATGTTTCGACGAAGCTATAAAGTTGCTCGGTTTGTGGATGTGATGCATCCCCAGCCATGAACTTATGAACCTCATCGCCAAACTCAATCCAACTGCACTCGAGTTTTTTTCGTACTCCCATTTCCTTCATGTTATTTCGAATCTCTGTTGCTTTCTTCCAGAGTTCGGTAGATGAGTAGATATTAGAGAGTAGAACATAATGACTAGCCACATTTGGCTACAATTCAAGGAGATTCTTCGCTGCAATTTCCCCAAGTTCTACATTTTGATGGATTCGACAAGCACCAAGCATGCTACTCCAAGTGCTTATTTTGTCAACATCAGGAGGCATCGACTTAATGAGTTGATAAGCTTCGTCCAGCTGACCTGCTCGACCAAGCAAGTTAACAACGCAAGCATAGTGATCTGCTGTAGGCTCAACTCCATAGTCATCTTTCATTTTATGAAACAAGTTACGGCCTTCTTTTACCATCCCAGAGTGACTACATCTAGCGAAAATTGCAATAAATGTAACCTTATTAGGCCTGACTTCCCCACCCCTAGCTCCTTCTGCCACCATACTCCTAAAAAGTTCTAAAGCTTCTTCTCCTTTCCCATGCATGCCGTAAGCTATGATGATCACGTTCCATGTGATCATATTTCTGTTGGGCATTCCATAAAAAATTCTCCTAGATAAGTTCAAGCAACCACATTTTGCATACATGTCAACCAGTGCACTGCCCACAACATTTGATACCAAAGCATTTCTAATGGCGTAAGCATGAATTTCTTTCCCCTTAGCTAATGCTGCAAGGGTGGCACGGCCAGGAAGGATTGCCATGAGTGTTATTGAATTTGGTTTACAAGGAACACCTTTTTCATCCTCATACTCATCCTTCTCCTCATTCTTTGCTTCTTCACCTCTTTACATCGCATGCAACAGAATAAGTGCATCTTCATGGCGTCCACAGATAACATAACCTATATGAGTGTGTAGCACTCGTATCAAATAAAACACGTCCATGCAAACCATGAATAAGAAACTTACCCTCAATAGTCTGAGGTGCCTGAACATCCTGTGGCATGGGGTTATACACCCTGCCATAGTGCAACTGTTGTGGTGTCTGTCCCTGAGTCTGAGGCGGTGCCGGTAAAGCCAGATGTGTCTGTCCCTTAATCCGTGGAACCTGTGGAGCTGGTAGAGGCACTGACGCCCTCTGTCCCTGCTGCACATACTGTCTCTGTCCCTGTTCTTGTCCTGCTTTAGGACACTGCCTGGTGGTATGACCATACTCTCCACAAGTGTAACAACTACCTTGGAAAGTACCAAATGGCCTCCTCTGTCGGTTAGCCTGTGGCTGACCCTGTCCTGCCTGTGGTCCCCCATTCTGTTGCCTCTGAATAGGTGCCCCATTCCGGTGAGCATCTAAACCACCTTTGTGCTTCTTCTAAGGCTGTTGTCCTTGGAACTTGCCTTTGTCATTCTGCCAGTGACCATTGCCATTCCCCTTTTCAGCTGACTGACTAGTAGAGTCTTTATCTCCCCGCTTCTCACCACGAGCCTGTCTGATGTCCACAGTCAACTGATACTGTTGTAGAGCGGCGTCTACCACCTGAGCATAGGTAGTATAGGCTGGACTACCTGTAATAGCTCTCTTGATAGACCACATCAGTCCCTTGACAAAACTGTTGCACTTCTTCTTTTCTGTATCCACCTCCTCCGGTGCAAAGAGAGACAAACGTGTGAACTGCTGCTTATACTCCGCCACTGCCATGTTTCCCTGCTGCAGACTTAGAAACTCGGTCTTCATAGCTGCCCTGACTGTATAGGGAAAATATTTCTCATCAAAGCGAGCACTGAACTCATCATAAGACAATGTCATCGTCTCCTCTGAAGTGGTAACTGACTCCCACCACTGTAGTGCATCCCTAACTAGCTTGAAAGTAGCAAGCATCTGCTTCTGAACCTCCGTGCACTGAACCAAACGAAGATGACGCTCAATGTCCTGTTTCCACTTGTGAGCTGCTCTCGCATCGGTTGAGCCTGAGAACACAGGTGGACTCCCCTTTGTGAAAGAGCTCCTAGCCTTTCCCCAAGAATCCGTCTGAACCACTGGTGCTGGTACAGGTGCCGGCTGTACCTGAGGCTGATTCCGAAGTGTAGCTGTTACCCCAGCCTCCATAGCCCGAGCAACGAGGTCATTGAGGTGAGGAGGAATCTCTGGATCTTTGACCTGGTCCAGAGTCTGTTGAACATTCTCCTGTTCCTCCTGAAACTGATCCATGTCATCATGAAACCCAAGCCTTTGCTGCTCTTCCTCCATTTGCTGACGCCGTAGGAGATATTGTTGCTTACGTGCCGTTCTCCTTTCCTTCCTAGTTCCTTGCATGTTCTGTCCATTTCTAGCGTTAACCATCTGTTAACACGAAAAGACAGACGTCAGTACCCTTTCTATACGAACCATAAGGAATACAATGAATCCTAACTTAAGCTCTATTCAAGAGAAAACGCTATGCGGAAGACTTAATACGAAAACATCCTAGAGACACTTGAACCTGGAGTGCTCTGATACCAACTGTGATACCCCTCGGATCCGAGACACGGGTTGATCAGGCCCAGGCCGAAACCCGAGGGAATATAAAACAATTAATATTTTATAATGAACACGGAATACAAAATAAATTAAGAAATGAAATTAAAGCTGGAAGGAACTAAAAATAGAATCCGCAAAATATTATAATTATTAAAATTCATCGAACCCAAACTCCAAAACTCCATCAGTTTACAACTTGGGAATCCATCTCTAGTGGACCCCTATTAAACATCCAAACGGAAGATAGAACAACTGTAATAAACGTCCAGAAATAAAACTATAGAGAGAGCCCTACATCGTCGGAAGAGTGAATAGAGACCTCTGCTCAGCACGAACACGTCTAAGCCAGGAACTGTCGTGTACCTGAAAAAAATAGAAGTGGGTCAGGCCCACGCGCAAGTTCTATGCTACTACAATCCAAACAGAGGCCCGATACGCATGTACATCCTAAACAATTCAACAATAGCTAATAGTCCGTAAATATATATATAGTCACACTAAAGGACTCTCACTGGACTACAGGCCGGTCTCAACCTGAATAGAGGTAACATGCTAAAACGCACACGAAGTGGGCATATGTACCTATACCTAAACAGGGTACACCTCCAACCATCGTAGCCAGCTACACATCCCGATGCATATACGCTCCCTAGCCATCGGTCCTGAGGCTCAAGCTCATACCGAGGCACCATAACAGTACATATATAAAATCCATCCAAAATCCCTGGTATTGCCGCTCAACAAGTAATTGCCATGACAATATAAATCCACGGGACTTAACTTTTAGTTAAACCCATCCTTATTCCAAGTAGGTGGGTAATGGTATTGTTTTAAAAACCAAACCCATCCTTAGTATGCCACCATCCCATACCGGTGCCTACTTTCCAATCCTCCAGTAGTCAATAATACCAATAAATCAAGTATATATCAACTAAATTCCAACATCCAACATTCAATGTTAGCAGTGATAAAATAAGCATTGATAAACAGGGTCACAACAACAACATATACATGCCCAATTTAAGTTGTTCCCTTTAGTCTGATATAAAGACAGAATTAATTAAAACTTCCATTTAACACCTTACAAATGACATACAGATATGTAGGGTATGTATCACAAAATCCTAACCTCCACAGTTGATACTAACTGTGATAATGTAAGCATCAAAACAATATTCACAGTATGTATGTAGACATGCTCAAATTATAGTGTTCCACAAAACCGATCTAGTGTTAAACTCAAATCCTCCTAGTATTTAAGTTCCAATAGTTGCTATTACAGAAGTTAAGATAGCTATCATCTAGACCCATCCTTCCAATAATTTATACTAGCAGTGGTAAGGAAAAACGTGAACCACAGAACCACAATGCATCCACAAACATGCTTAGTCTAGGTTGAACAAGCATACAACACTACTGCAACTACCAGTTTCATAGCAAAACAGATATCATTTTAGTTTGGTTTAATCTTCATTAATCCTGGAATCATTTAAGAGTGCAAAGAGTATGAAGCCTAAGGGAAAGAGTAAGGATAGAATCTTGCCTCAGAAACTTTTGTTCAAAGTTTCAACGTCATCTTCTTAAAAAATTCCGGCGAGTTCCAAAACCCGGTTAATGTTCACGGGTACAAAACACTATTCCCGAACTCAAAATCTGATCTCCACCGTTCAGATTGTGCGACACTGAGTCATGAACCTATCGTCCAAATTTCAGCTCGATCCGACCACGGACAAAGCAGGATCGGATGTTTGATGAAATCTGGGCAGAATGAAAAAAAAACTGTGCGACCCAGTTACTGTTCATGAGTACGAATTACTGTTCCCGTGGTCAAACTCTGATCTCCACCGTTCAGATTGTGCGTCACTGAGTCGTGAACCTCTCTTCCAAAACTCAGCTCGATCGGACCACGGACGAAGCGGAATCGGAGGTTTGATCAAACCTTGGCAAAATATGAAAAACTGCGTTTTTCCTTCTCCACTTCCACAAAACGTGTGCTTTGTTTAAAAAAACCCTACACAGACGTCTACCTTATACTTATAGAGTTTTCCTAAACCCTAGGTTCATTTAAGTCCAACTCACAATCCTAACCGGCCCATCCAATTAACGTAGAAACCTACGACGGCTATAATATAAAACCCTAATTTATACTGTAATTAAAACCCTAGTTAGATGTATTTACCTAATTACCCTATTCACCATTAAATACTTAACAAATAATCTAATTGAACAAAACAATAATTAGGAAACCCAATTAAACTAAATAAGACACACATAAAATAAGACACACATAGAATAATTAAACCAATTACACTTAAACCATTAATGCCAATTAAATAATTAAAACACTAACAAGTAATTCCAATCAAATAACTAAACCAATTACACTTAAACTATTAATGCCAATTAAATAATTAAAACACTAACAAGTAATTCAAATCAAATAACTAAACTAATTACACTTAAACCATTAATGCCAATTAAATAATTAAAATACTAACAAGTAATTCCAATCAAATAACTAAAAATAAATATCATTTAAATAAATTAAATCACCACAAAAGAAAACAATTAAGCACCTAATAAAAAAAAAATAATGACATATAATCAAATAAAATGCACTTAAATAATAAATTAAATACCATTAAATACCAGGAATATCCTTTTTAAAATTAGAGGTATTACATTTTCCCCCCCAAACAAAAGGAATTCCGTCCTCGGAATTCACTCTTACCTTCTTCCAATATTTCAGGAAACCGTGAGCGAATGACATCCTCTCGTTCCCAAGTGGACTCAGATTCATTGTGATGACTCCACTGAACACGAACCAAAGGAATAACCTTATTACGAAGAATCTGATCTCGTCGGTCGACAATACGACACGGTGGCTCTAAATAAGTTGCATCCGGCTGCAACGCAATCTGCCCAACATCGATATGCTGATACCGA